ACTTAAAGCATAAACGAAATAATTACTACAGGTGCCAATCACAGTCGGCAGTGACGGATGCCCTTATGCAAAATAGACTATGATATCATTATTTGGACCGATTACATGTGCTTTGATCTTTGGCATAGAGGAGTTTAGCTTTTGAGGTTTTCATTTTTACACAACAGAAAAAAACCACTAAATTCTAAGAATTGGGTAAAAACTAATATTTAAAGAGATTATGTTTACATAACATTTGATATTCATTTTCATTATAGGTATCTCGAATATTTCCTTCATAAATTGAGCATGTGCAAAATAACTTGCTGTCCGTACGAAAAGTCGTTCATCATGAGTCAATGCACTAATGACATGGCGCCAGTTTTTAATCCTCAAGAGTACGCGGATTACACCGGTAAGGTTTAGGATCGAATTTTGCTAAAAGTTTACTGCTCTGAACGTTATAGAGCTCCGAGCACTGGTGTCGTTGTTAGGCCCATACGGTGTTCTCCACTTCAAAAAAAGACTGGCATCAGTTATTACAACACAAATGGCCGAAATAAAGGTGCGAAATGAGGAATTTAGGCTTTGGCTGAAATTTTGATGTTTGTTTTGCCAAACACCGACGACATCTGCTTTGAACACTTTCAGAACCTGGCCTTGCAGTTTCGCGAAGTACTGCGTGCAGTGAAATGTGACTTTAAAAATGCCGACAAGTGCAAGCAACTGCTTACCTGCTATACAAGTAAGCTATAAATATAGTAGTCATATCCTAGGTATGCGCTTCTACATAGAACTGAACGATTTTACTTATGTGCACCGTCGAAGTGTCGTCATTCGAAATTTGACTAGACTGAGCCTTGCCGAAGCATTGACTATAGACCACCTATACAGAATTGGGACATTGAAGATCGCAGAATACTACTCTTAAAATTTTCCAAATGCAGTGTTGCAGACGACTGTCTTTGAAAGCTAGGGTTATATCCTGAAGCAAAGCGTTTTCTTGAACGTCATTTTGAAAGAAACAGTGGAGAGTTTCAAAGAAAGCAGAATGCAGTAATGCAGGGCTTAGTTCATGTGATGATACTAAATATAAGAAGGTATTTTGTTCGAATGGAAGGTGACATCATTCTGTTCAATTTTTATCTAATGTCAGTGATAGGCCACAAATCTTGTGCATGTCATTATCCGTGTTTAGTAGATATTTTGCATCACATTCTTGCTTTTAGAGGTCTGAAGAATCGTTTGAACTGGCAATAGGATCATGCATGTCATTATCCGACAGAAATTTGCCATTAAATTTAAATTCGTCTTCAAACAGCGCCAAACCTTCATTGCCGGTTTTGCAACAGCATTTACGGTCCAATAGCTGTAAATATTACACAAAATTAAATTCTCTTAGACAATTTATTACATATATTATATTGTTAACCGGATACACCTTCTTACTTTACATGTGAACAGTGGCCTATTTCGATTTATGCTATCAGTTGACTGTGAATTATGCGAGCTGACGATGCATTTGAAGGACTTTCGTTTAGATCCAAACGAGGTGAAAAACAAACAAGTTGACATATGTACCAACGTCCTGCAAAGAATGTGTATCATTGGTGAAGTAATCTACTTTAAAGCGCTGCTGCAAGAGGCCCTGTTAGAGGTATGGACTCTGTGACTAAGACTGAGAAAAGACAAATGAATTTTTTAGATGCTTGCCAACGAAAGCCCCGTCCTCATCGAATGTGTAGAGGACATCAAAAGAGAGACGCCGTGTGATCATCCAGATATCATGGTAAACTTTTTGAGAATCTCTTTGTACTGCTTTTACTGAGACATCGCAATTACCTTTAACTTGCATATTAAACGCTGCTCAGTCTCTTTAAGCAAGTATATACTAGTTTGTTTATATAGGGTTCGTCTTTACGCAAGGAAGTCAATTAAAAATGACCAGGCATTACAGAAAAGTAATGTGAAATAAAAATGAAACTAAGCAAACCAATATTTTGCATATGCATATAATGAGGAAACGAATATTTTCCTGCTTGAATAGCATTTAGTGATCTTCGTTTCTTGATCCACAGTTCAGCTCAACAGTTAATTATTCGATTGTTTCCGTGAACCACTGATTGGAAAACGAAGGCAGTTAACTCTTTGTGAACGTTTCTTCCGACATTTCTTTTGCCATCTGCATTTTCCGGGTAATGAATTATTCAGAAGATGACTTCTACTAGTGACACTCCTATTCATTCGTTTTTACAGACCATTATTCTGTTTGGATTGTGAGGGCAGCAACTTCAAGAAGCGTAATCGCTTATTCTGTCACCAATTTACTGGGAAGGAGTAAGGAAAATTCATGGGAGCCCCGTAGAAAAAGAATGGTAAGGTAGTTTTAAAAACGAATGTTTTGATATCTCTTTTAGATGTGTACCATAAATTGAGCCCTAGAGGTTACAGTAAAACACTGATCATCTGACTTTTTTTATTAGTTTCACGTGATCCTGCCAGACAGAATTTTTCAGGCTATTTATGAAATGTGTTCTGCTACTGGAATGAATTGTCCGGTGGACACTGATGTCCTGGCCGTTGCTGAAAAGGAAACCCAAGGTAGACAATGCCGCTATTCCTAATAGGTAGCATTAAACTAAATAAAATAATGTATCAAAATCCGTACACACATGCGCTACATAAGGCATTTGCAAAAGACCAGGGCAGTTGAATAGGAAGATTATATTTCGCAAATTTTTATTGCAGATTAACATTTGACATGAATTTATTCATGTCTAAATTAGTTTATCATGATGTATTTGCTAGTGTAAGCACAACATCCATGTTCGGTTCCCTTAGGTGGAAACTTGTGCTACATCATTCTAAAGATCTAAGCATGAATCTTTTACACATCAGCAGCGTGGAGCAGCGCTAAGCTTGAACGCATAATGTTGTTTAAATTATAAGATTTTTAAACACGGAAGAACTGAACTTTTCTCCAAGCAGAAGGATCCACAACAGACCTAGAAATTAAGCAAAGAAGGTTGCAGATTGCCTAATATTAGATATCGGTTGAAGATACTCCCTTCCCTGTAGCAAATGGAATTTATATGCCACAACCGATGCAAGCGCAAAGACAAGCAGAAAGACAGCATTCAGAAAGAGGCAAAAGCAGTTTGCATTAAGAATGTGGTTTTCCTTCTGTTATGTTTTGCTCATTATGTATTTTACAGAAATATTGTAAAATTGAAAATTTGGTAATCATCCTTCTATTAAATACAGGCAAACAGTAGCATGCAGCTTATAATCATGCATAAATAAATGCATTGCTAAATACGGTCATACCAATGTACAGAAGATACGAATCCGTACCTTTCACGGCATTCTAATCACGAGAAATATTGAAAGCAAAGCATGCAAATAATTAATTAAGATGACAAATTAATTAAGATGACTGTCAAAATACTTCATCCTCTCTGGTTTAATATGGAAAGATCCCACATAATGAGCTACTGATTTTTGAGGGTGCAATCCACCTGAATGTCCTAATGAATCAAATACTATTAAAATGATTTTTCAAGATGTTGGCGAGGAGGACCGCTTGCTCAATGCATTGACGATGACCCTGATGGCTTGTTCGTTGGTGAAGATAGCAGCGCCTGATGCGGACACGAAAACCATGCTTCCTGGAAGTAGATTCCCAGTTTTTCTTTGGATCTCTAAAAGATATTCTTTCAGTATACCGAAATAACTATATATGCGTCGCAAAGGCGGTGAACACGATCGTCAACGTTCTCTTCTGCAAGTTGGGTCAGAGTGAAATCAGGAAAAGTTTGGAAGAATTTCTTACGGTAATCAGTTTTTTGCGACTAATAAAATTTTGAAGCTATTTAATGCTTCCTCTATGTTTTCATATTTATTCATTTTTTTATTGATTACACATCGTGCTGATTCTCCAAGCATCAGGTGAGTCAGTATGCAGATGATTACAGTCGTAAAGCACTAGCGTCATGGAACCAGCGCGGCTTGGCTGTAGGTCTCTCGCGTTCCGGTGTAGAAACATCAGAACAGTATGCTATGGAATTACTCACAGGTCAACAATATGTCACTCATTTCTTGAGTGATTGGCCCTCCTTGCCACCGAAGCCTGCCATCGAGATGATTCTTTATTTATAAGCTTTAGTATGTAGCAAAAATTTAGCTGTTCTTGGATCCGAACACGCCTATTTAAAGCTCCTATAGCAACACTACCACCTCCTGCGCCACTGACCACGTGTATGTGTAAAATTTAATATCTTTACATCCTCTCGAATCATTATAGCAAGACTGTTCGCCTTCCTTTGCAAGTAACAGGGAGAATGGTCCAGTCTTCTTCCATCTTATGTATGTAATTGATTTGTAATATTTCAGAGTATGATTACTTTTTAACTCTTGTGTAGATTTATCTTACCCTTTATGTAGTTTTATCGCTCTTCTCAAGGCTGCAAACTGTTCATTGAATGTACAGTTGTAGATGAAATGCGACATGCCATGACTCCTATAGCGTTCATCGCCACTGCTTTCTCCTGGTCCCTTGATTTAAATTCACCCTTAAGAACGTGCAGATAACTTGAGTTTATGAAAACGAAATCTCTCTCTCTCTCTCTCTCTCTCTCTCTCTCGAGAGAGAGAGAGAGAGAGAGAGAGAGAGAGAAACTGTTCCTATTGCGAATTCTCGATAATATAATGAGTTGTCGAACGTAATCTGCAATAGCCAATTTGCACAAATTTTTGCCTGAAATAACCGTCAATTTTGAGGCTGTTTTTTTCCACGTTTCGAGTATTTATACGGCTCTCCTCCTGAAATGTAATCACTTTGTTTTCCACGATAACTTTTGCTTTCTATAGAGGCCTTCATAATGAGTGTTCATGCTAGTATAAAATAGAAGACCAGTGAAATAAACAATGAAAAAGCCCTGATATTCTGGGGTAGACTAGATAAGTGGAGTTTTCGACACCGCCGTCGATACGTAATATTTAAAATATATCGATGTCGGATTGAAACTACAAAAAACGTACAGTGTAAAGGAAGAAAAATTCATTTTTTACTTTACACTGATACTGCGGTGGTGTAAGACAGATGCATCCTTACGCAAAGTAGTAGCGCAATATTGCATCGCCCTCTTGCCTCTAGTTGTCTAAGGGACCCATTTAAGCAGGCCACGGCTCCACGATGTTTAAGCTCATAGAGTGCATAGGACAAAAATCGCTTCTTTTAATTGGGTTGAACCAAGAAATATTCAAGCCCAAGCAGGACATCAACGCCTGCTCTATATTAGCCATAAGATGATCGCTGTTAGGCATGCAAGAATATTCAAAATTTGATTTTATATCTGCTTAGCGGTCCAGAGGTAAAAATGTTTCTGAATATTCTAAGTAATATTCGGTAGAAAAGGCAGGTAGCGAATTGCCTTAGCATGCAAGGTTATTATAAGCGCAGTTTCAAGTCAATTACAACTATAATAATTAGTTCAGACAGCGTCTGCAAATAATTGACGGTAGGATGTATTCGCTTAGACCGCCATCAGCTGCACGTACAATATCCGAGAAATCGCTGGTCCTGTGGCTCAAAAAAATCCAGACGTTATTTATGCCATTTTGGATCAGGTATCAAAATTACTTCAAAGACTACCTAAGAATTACTGCTGTTATTTTAGATCGTGCAAGAATCGCCATACGTTCAATACGATTTCCTTGAAAGTCGATGTCCATATATTTTGCGGCGAGTATATAAATGAATATAGCAGCTTGTTGCCTCGTCAGTTTTGGTTGATAATGTGGTGCTTCTGTATATTACTGAAGCGCAAATGTTAGAAGCGTCGAAACGTAAATTAGGGTCATAATCCCTTAACATTTAATAACAAACACTGTTCATTGAATAGCTTGGAAATTTCAATTCTGAAACTTTTCTCCTTGTGATTGATAGTTTGCACAGAAATTGACACCGATTCAGTAGGGCGTTGAACTCAACTCGACGAAACCGACAGGCCTCGCGTTCAAGCCCCGGTCTGGATCACTTATCGCTCTTCTACGGTTGATAAATGAGTACTACCCTGTGGGTAGGAAAAACGACACTACACGTTGCGCCTGCCATTTTTACATTTTGCATTTTGTACATTTTGCTTTTTACAAATATGGCACTCGTAGCAGGTGATGTAGAAACGAAGATCAGCTTCGCAACATACACTACATGAGAATGGTCGAATCATGAACGTGAAGAAAGACCAACATTTCGATGGTGATAAATTTTCCTCTCGCATTATTGAGACTCCACAAAAAGTAAACTCTGCAGGTGACAGAGACCGCTTCCCCAACTACTCACCACAATAATATAATCTGTGTATTCTATGCCAGCATGATATCTACCTAAACATCTTGAATCACTTTTTCCCTCTAAAACAAGACCTTCGACTTTAGGCAGGGGGTATCACTGCTTCGGAGAACAAAATCAAAAATAGTGTAGAATAGCAATGGCGAAAGCACATCTGCCCGTTCAACTCCGCAGTTAATAGGAAACCATTCAGATAGCCCTTCTGCAGCTTCTATGGCTGACGGCTTCTGCATTCATAGATTAAGACCATGAGTGAGATACCCATTGCTTTTCAAGATTTTCCATATCGTCAGAGAACTGAGTACAGCTTTAAAGTCGAGGAAGATCAAGGTAACTGAAGTCGTCAGCGTTGTTCAATCAATCTGCGCAGAGTGAAATATTGGCGGGGACAGGAATGCCCTTGCGGGAAGTCTCCCATCAACTGCCTGCTTCTCCTTTCCAAGATAACCCAAGACAAGGCTTCCCGGTTAATAACAGTAGTGTGAAATCAAGGTTATTGGAACACTAGGCCATCTTTAAGCATAGGGACAATAACTCCGCACTTTCCAACTTTCTCCTGACAAACATTT